TAGTGGTTCGTACAGTCCAGAAGTGTATGCGGTATATCGAGGTGATACAGTCAATTTTCGTCTAGAACCAAGGAAGAGGTGAATAGTGGTTTTTTATTTGTCTGCGAACAACGAAAAAACCAGAAATTTAAGAACTGGTTATACTTTGAATATAATTCATTTCGTGGATGTTAGCATTATCACAATAAGCAAAAAACATAAAGATTTCAGAACGCATGAAATAGCGACTTATAAGTGCTACTTCCACGAAAGATGCTATGATTCTCTCTAGTATTCCTGATGAACAATTAATTAAAACTACTTCTCCGTAAGCCCACATATCTTGTTAATTAAGTAAAGACTAACTAAGCATGTAGGACCATTTAAGTTTTAATTAATCAAAGTGAGTAGTAGGACTGATGTTTTAAGATTTATAAGCCGCTAAATACATTAAGGAATATATGCAACTATAACGTTTCAAGTGATGAGACCGGAAAGAATAATATATACAAGCCTTTACCCCACCAGTCCTGCTTTCCGTACAGTGTGAATAAATAAAGACATTTTCGCATGATTTGTCTCGTAAATCCCATCCTACTACGTCCAAAATTTTTCCCACGCTAAAGACGGTAACTTGCATTTGAACACGCGGATAGTGCTGGTAGACACAGACAGGTACCACATGTTCAAGTTCTCATTTACCGGGCCGGGTGGCAGGATAGAGTCAAGAACAATGGCTAGCGCGGTCCTGTGCAGGTCGTTGGTGTGGCGTGAAACCGTGCCTAGACAGACAAGCACACCCCGTAAGCTATTTCAGAAAACCACATTGTTGCGAAAAGCGTCCTTTTTCGTAAGTACCACCTAAGATAACTTCAGTTTTGTACCATTTTGAGCCTAGCTCTCCGTCGCATACTACCCAAATTATCAGTGCAAACTGTATATGTGAAAACAGTGAGATATTGAGGATATTTTGTTAGGCCTATACGGGATTATTTATTCTTCTTTAAAGTATGCTTTGCGTGGTTAATTTTTGAAAAATATAACATTTTAATGTGTAAAGAATCTTGGAATTCCTTGAATTATTTATGAGAATAAAGCTTTCTTTCGGAAATGTCGAACTTTTATTTCGTCAGTTTTTGACGCGGACCAACCGGTCGTCTTCAGACGTGGAAAACTGTGCAACAAACAACTATTATTTTTAAACGTTCGGAAAATCAATATTCTTCCAACGTGTGCACCGATTGGCAGGATTTTTGGTCTGTGCTGGTAGGTGTTATGTGCCTTCCGTAATTTGGCTGTCTGCTTTGTTTTGGTGGTGCGCATTTAATTTGCCTCTGAAGTAACCGTAGCTACCGTCCAAATCAATATAACTGTTGATGCATGCCTCGTCTGAATGCATTGCTTCCAGGAATTCACGGCCATTTCTAGTTGGTCAAGTGCCAACAATCAGTGTGTTCTCCCGTGCAAATTTTGTGGCCGGTTTCCAGGGTGTGCATGGCCACCTGGGATAGATGGTATCGTCTTCTGACTACTGACTGATGTTGGTGTATGCGGGTTGAGGCGCATTTCCCAGTATGGCCATAAATGGAACACGAGATCTCGCAGACAACCCCTTTTCTTTCAAGATAGCCAACCCTGTCCTTAGAATGTACAAGTTGTGAACGTAAGGTGGTTGCGGTCAGGTGTGCCACTTGTATTTGGTGTTTTTTGAGTTGTCTTTCGACAAGGTCAAATAAATTCTTTACGTATGGGAGAGAACGTCAGGTTACTGTTTTCGGTACCTCGCTGGTCGAACCAGTTGAAATGCATTTTTCATTTGTTTTGGATTCAGTTTATTTTATGCATTAGTACACGAAATTTCGTGGATATCCATTTTTGGAGAATAATTTAAAAAAGGTCTTTAATTTCTTTCTGGTTAGTTTTGTCATCAGAACAGTGTATTTTGGCTCGGTTAAGTAGATTTGCTCTCTCGCACTAGCATCGAGTCTAATATGGAGTTCTTAATAACCCACTTTTACAAAATGTTTAAAGTGCTGAAGGGACTTCGCCTTTTTATCTATTAAAATGTAATATCTCGTAGCACCAAGGTGGACATTACTTAGCTGCTAAATAAGTCTTTAGAACGCAATGTAAAGTAGAAATTTCTGAATGATGTAGGATTTATACGATAGTCATGATATTACCAGCCTCCAAACGGGGCTAACAGTTATCCCTTTACACATTACCTTCCACAATTTTAACCACTTTTATATTAACAGTTCTGAGGATTACATTTTTAACTTTTTCAAGCATGTATATGAATTAATTTAGAGCGAATTTTTTAAAACTCTCATGTGGATATCAGAGAAGTATACTTTATAGATATAGTATGAAGGTTAAATATGCGTTTATACAGACAGATAATTACGAAAGCTCTTAATTTTTAAGTGATCTCATATGAGATCACCGAGAGGTCATGGGTTAAGAACGCGTCACCGCAACTCAGAAGGACTTAAATTTCTTCATCGCTGCAAAATCAACTTACAAATGCGCTCCAAGAAATATTATGCCCTTTTACGAAATTGTATGATTTTCTGTGCTAGAGGCTAGAATAAGACGTATAATTTCATTATCATCTGAAGGAAGATCTCGGGTAGCTATGATAACTACTTATTATAAAGCCATGTTTTACGGGTTTTTTATGCAAGGAGAAGTATATTTATAGTACTTAGAATCATGCTGAGTGTTTTGACTAATGTTTTAAGATTAAGGAGGTTCGAAGTTAACCCAGAAATGTACTTATGTCAAATGCTGTAACTGATGAAACTCGATAGGCTTATTGCTAGACGTCTTTTTCACCAGTCACACTCGCTGTACTGCTTATATCACTAAAGACATTTTCA